GAAGTAGACCCATACTATACTGCTCATAAACAATAAATCAATCACTAAGGTTTTGGAGTAGATTTGTTTCTTCGGGTTGTGGATGTTGAGGTTGGTTGGCTCGCCGAGCCAACCAACCTCAATAAATCAATCAAGCTGACACCCACCTCACTTTTAGTATTGCCTGGTTTTACTCTTAACATGCCCTCCTGAACTCTTCATTCAACCAGGGTTGATCTCCTAATAGTAATGGTGGATTCAGGGTCATGCCAGGCTACAAAGTTGCAGTTTTGATTTGCTTGAAGCCTTTCCCATTTAGAAGGAGAGTACCAAACTTGATTTAAGGTAATCTCAATGCAAAGGCAGGACTGTGAAAGACGAGGATGCGATCAAGTATGTTATTGGTTCTCTTACCACTTGCTGCAGACTCAGTCTAGCAACTGTAGCTGTCCTGGGGGTGGGGTCAACCAGCTCAATCAGCTAAGCTGCTGCTGCTGAGCCATTCTTGGCAGAGTACATTCAACACCCTTGCCACCCTCAGTGTTTCCATCAAGTAGTGTTCAACAAGAAGGAGCACTGAGTGAAGAAGGCTTGACCCAGACTAGCTAGCACAGATTATTGTTGGACAGATCCAACCTGCAATGTGAAGAGTGAATTATAATTCAGTATAGTCAAGCAAGCAATTTGTTGAGAAAATCTGCAATGTTACAGCCAGTTTGTTGCCTGGCCAGGAGGAAGCTACATATTACCTAATTATATATAGCCCGCTTATTGATGACGAGCACTTCCAATCTCTCCAGAGTTGGTTTAGACCACTACCCAACAATAATTTTCTATTAAGCAAAAATGCAATGAAGCGCAAAGCATAGCCTAAAGATTTACCACTGACCAATAGTTTTAATACAGTTTAGTATATTGTGGCACTGAAGAAACTTGAAATTATAAGACTCATAACAAAAAGACTGAAAAACTTGGCCTACTTTTAAAGTTATATAGTCAACAGCAATGCCAAACTTGATAAACTGTAATAATGGAACAGACTTGCTGTAAACTGCCAAAATTCTATGAAGCATTAGGATGGCTGGTTGACAAAATACAGATTTATAATCAGTTGGTTCAATAGATTTCAAGTTGAAAAATTTGGCAGTACAGCGCAAAGGGAGATAAAAAGAATGTCAAATTTCTTTACATTGAAATCTTGAATGTCCTGATGACTGCAATGTAATGGGGAATGACATTTTATGCAAAAAGTGTGTGCTGGTTGGGTGACAAGTGCACTCTGGTAGACATATTACTACGGAAAATGCACCAATACATTGATGTCTGAAAGTTAACAAACAAGATTTGTTTCAATTTAAACCAGACAGGTTGACTGGTGTATTCTTCAGGGCAACATTTTGACAAGAGAATGATTGTTGCATGTTTTATTCAATTGAAACAGCTGCAATTTTTGTCTACAAATAATGGTGACCTGTGTATTAATGTTTGTAGTTTCCATGTGTGCAAGTGTGCCATTGTGCAAGCCCAAATGACCATGTCAAATTGGTTACATAGAAACACAGAAGATAGGAGGCAGCCATTTGGCCCTTTGAGCATGCTCCACCATTCTTCACGATCATGGCTGATCATCCAACTCAATAGCCTAATCCTGCTTTCTCCCCAATACCTTTGATCCCATTCACCCCAAGTGCTATATCTAGTCACCTCTTGAATACATTCAATGTTTTGGCATCAACTACTTCCTGTGGTAAGGATTTCCACAGGCTCACCACTTTTTAGGTAAAGAAATGTCTCCTTAACTCCATCCTGAATCCTCATACTGTGACCCCTGGCTCTGCACTTATGCACCATTGGGAACATCCTCCCTGATTCGACCCTGTCCAGTCATGTTAGAATTTTAAAAGTCTCTGAGATTCTGAAGTCTAACGAAAACAATCCCCAACCTAGCCAATCTCTCCTCGTACGTCAGACCCTCCACCCCTGGAATCAGCCTGGTACCCTCGCTGCACTCCCTTGAAACCAAGAGTATCCTTCTTCAGAAAAGGATACCAAAGTTGCACACAATATTCCAGGTGTGGTCTCACCAAGGCCCTGTACAACCGCAGCAACACATCCCTGCTCCTGTACTCAAAACCTCTCACAATGAAGGCCAACATACCACTTGCCTTCTTTTATCACCTGCTTCCCTTGCATGCTTACCTTCAGCGACTGGTGCACAAGGACACTCAGGTCCCGCTGCACACTCCCCTCTCCAATTTACAGACCTTCAGTAGTAAACTGCCTTCTTGCTTTTGCTTTCAAAGTGAATAACCTCACATTTATTCAAATTATACTGCATCTACCATTTATTTGCCCACTCACCCAACCTATCCATATTATGCTGAAGGATCTCTGCATCCTCACCACAGTTTACCCTCCCACCTAACTTAGTATCATCTGCTAACTTTGAGATGTTACATTTAATTCCCTCATCAAAATCATTAATATATATTGTGAATAGATGGGGTCCCAGCACCAATCCCGGAGGCACCCCACGAGTTACTGCCTGCCAATTTGCAAAGGACCCATTAATTCTTCCTCTGTTTCCTCTCTTCCTATCCATCTCAATATACTTCCCCAAATTCCATGCACTTGAATCCTGCAAATTAATCTCTTATGCGGGACTTTGTCAAACGTTTTCTGAAAGTCCAAACATACCACGTTGACTGGCTCCCCCTTGTCAACTCTACTAATTACATCTTCATAAAATTTCAACAGATTTGTCAAGCATGATTTCCCAATCATAAATCCATGCTGACTCTGTCTGATCCTGCTACTGCCTTCTAAATGCTCGGCTATAAAGTCCTTGATAATGGATTTGAGAAATTTCCCCACTACCAATGTTAGGCTTACTGGCCTATAATTCAGTTTTCTTCCTACTTCCCTTTTTGAATAGGGCAGTGACATTAGCTACCCTCCAATCTGCAGGGACTCTTCCAAAGTCTGTAGAATCCTGGGATATGACCACCAATGCATCCAGTATTTCCAGGGCCACTTCCTTAAGTACTCTAGGACTGTAGGCAGATAAATCCCCAGTACCTGATAATCTACATCCCAATCACTTTTCCCAGCACCATTTCTCAGCTAATACTGATCTCCCTCATTTCATCCCTCTCACTAAATCCTGCATTCTCCAACATTTCTGGCATCTGATTTGTGTCCACTTTTGTGAAGACAGAACCAAAGTATTATTCAGTTGCTCAGCCATTTCTTTGTCCCCTGTTATACATTCCCCTGTTTCTGTCCGTAGGGGGGCATACATTTGTCTTCACCAATCTCTTTCTCTTCACATACCTGTAGAAACTCTTATTATAGACTTATTGTTGTGGAGATTGTAGCCATAATTAAGTTTTTTGGTTTTTGTAAAGAGGGACTTTTGACATGATTGTTACATTTACAAATTAATGAGCTTCACATTGTGCTCTTGTGCACTTTTAATTTTTCTCATTATAAAGAACAGAACCAAAATTATTGGAGGACTTTGGAGTATGATTTCTAAGTTTAAAATATTACTTCAAATTTTAAGCTCGGAGTTTATTTGTCTTTTTAATAAGGGTTTGAGCACTAGCAATGATATGTTCCTAAGTTGAAATCTGATTCTTCACCTGTAGAAATAGCACTTCTTGTACCTTCACAACATTAGCAGAGCACGAGGGAGGAAAGGAAAACGAACTTCCAGCACATCAAACTCTGGTAAGAAAGGTCTGTTCAATTTACAAGGCTACCAGAATTAATCACTTCACATTTCTCAGCATTCAATTCCATCTGTTACTGTCTCTTCATTCCACCAAACGATGTTATTTTGAAATTCTACTCTACTAACCTCACTAATTTTATAGAGCAACTAAAAATTGTTTCCTGTGGCAAGTCAACCAGTAAGGAACAAACACAGATCCAAGGTGACCTAAAAGAACCAAAGGCAATATGAGAAAACACTATTTTACCTGAGAAATTGTTGTGATTTGGAAGGCATTACCTAAAGGGTGGAGGAAACTGATTAGGTGGCAACATTCAAAAGAGAATTTAATAAATACTTGAAAGAGGAAAAAAAAAAATCACATGCATGAGGAATGAGCAGGGGTATGTAATTAATTCGATAGCTGTCCTAAAGAGTCGACAGAGGAATGAAGGAACAAATTATTCTTTCCATGCTATATTGTCCTATAGTCGCCGGAAATTAATTTCAGCAATATGGAAACTACCACCTTACCTCTGTAACCCAGATGGACAGATGCACAGAAGGACTAGCACTAGTAATATCCCTTCCAAGCCACACTATTCTGACTTAATACCGTATTGCCATTCCTTTACTATCCTGGAATTCCTTCCCTAACAGCACCATGCTACACGGTCTATAGCAGTTTAAGAAGCCCTGAGGATTTATCGGCCTTCAATCCCAACAATTTTCCCAGCACCATCTCTCAGTGCAGTTATCTGTGCAATTCTTGCCATACCCTGAATTATTTGTCAAATGTTGGCCAACCATGGAATCGCATCTCATGTTCTTTTCAGTTTTGAAAGTATGGGTTGGTTGAACATGGTCAGCACCTTGCCTGTTGCAAAGAGCTGAAAGGACATATTGTTTCATATGATCTGCCAGTCTGGAAGTGTGCTAAGCATTGTGCTGATACCCAATTTAAGTTTCAGTCAGGCTCACAGTGTAGCATGTTTGCAAACACATGTATGAATATACATTGTGCCTGTTTCAACTGAACAAAGTAGGTGATAGCCATTCTCGAGCACATTTCTCAGGGTACTCTTGTTCATAGTTCACTTGCTAACCAATCTTTACTGTTCTCTTACAGTATAAGATGTTGGACCTCAATGCATTGATATTCTTGTGAGTGAGTCCTGATAAGTGCATGAAGGAGAGCTTTGTTAAAATAACTTTCCTCAGCAATACTCTACTGTAGTTCTGACTGCAGAACAACAATTGAGTTAAGATGCAGTAAAGGAAATTCAGGAAGTAAACACAACATTACCTTTTTATCTGGTCATCAGTCTCTGGACAGTTGTTGTCCAAGGTCTCTTTTAAGAAATTGATATAGTGAAGCCAAAGATCAACACTAAGTGGTATTGCTTGAAGACCTCGTCGGTATACCTGTGACAAAGAAGTTTCTAGTAACAACTATAGCTTGTTAACAGAAGACAACCAGAGAGTCTGTACACCAAAAATGTTACTTTCTGGATAACTTTGTTTTCAGAAAAGCAGATAAAAATCAGGAATTTGTTTGAATAATCTGCCATTACCATTGTGTGGAGGGTGGAAAGAACATCACTATGTTCTGCTCTCCACGCGTACAGCCTTGATCTTCAGAGTGTGAGATGGCTCCTGCATTCTGACCAGGTAGGGCAGGCTTGGGGTACAGACCATAAGGCACAGACCCATTAGAACATCACTGACAGCCTCTAACCACAAATGTAATAAAGTTCAGCAAAAACAAACACAAACATAAAATAAGGAAAGTCCAATTTAGTTTAAAATCATAGCACCCAAGTGAAACTGTCAGGAAAGCCCTGCTTTACTTGTTAAACTGCATTGATTTGCACTGCAAAGCTTGACAAACTGTAGTACTAATGAACCTGTTAACAAAGAGAGAACATATTAGCTGAAAACTGCTAAGGGTAAATGTTTTATTTCAAATGTGAAAATGTGGAGACCATCTACTGAAAGCCAAGATCAAACTCTCAAAATCTTTTGAAAACCTGGCTTGTGTTAGCCATTGAGTAGAAGCTGGCTTGGAGTAGCAGTCTGAGACAAAACCAGGTTAAAATTAAAAGTGAAAAGAAAATTAAAACAAAGTCACAAGTTACCTCTTCTGCCCGTTTCACATTGTCATGTCGGCGCTCAAGGTCAGCATACTTTTTCCAATAGCCATAACAGTATGGATAGTGGGACAAGAAGTGATCAAAAGCTTTTCTGGCTGCCAGGATATGGTTCTGCAAAGAGGATAAAATGTTTAAAGTTTATTGTTTCACATACACACAAACAATACAACCATTTTGTTTCTAATGATCAAATATTAACTTAATTATTTTCCTACTGCTTTGTTTTTAATCATACAATTTTCAACGCAGAGAAATCTGGGCATCAGGTATTTCAAATTTACATCTTAGAGAACAAGGCTGGGGAAATAGTTAAGAGCAAACAAATTTCAGAGGAATTGAACAAAATTTTGCATCAATATTCACGCTGGAAGATACTAACAGCATTTCAAAAATACTGAATAATCAAGGGGCTAAAGGTAAGTGAAATAAACACTTCCCATCTCTAGAAAACACATATAAGGGAAACCTTGAGCTCCTTTTTGCTGTTCCTCATTCCATTTGATTCAGTGACAAGAACAGAGAGCTGAAAGGACACAGATCAACTGTGAGTCTTTGACTTCATTTGCCAATTCTTTGTACTGTTATTAATACAGTACATGCCATGAGGTATTCTCTCAGTATCAAAAAACGTTCTTGATGTACTCTGGAAAGGTGTTTTAAGGAAACTGAATAATTAAAACCTCATGATATTGTAAACTTTACAATAGTTTAAGGAAAAAAGATAACTTAGTCCTTGGAAAATTGCTAATTTGGCCACAGCTCAAATATAAAAAGATACATAGAAATTACACTGGGAGTTATTAAACTGTAGCTAAAATTAGTTGTTAATTGGTATTGATAGTAAGGTTTACTCATTTTGCTTTACTACCATGTTCCTTCACATAAGGGATGGTAATGGTGACCGGTTTCCTTATTCTAGCTTTGGGGTCAAATCTAATCGAAATGGGCTCACAACAACATTTCTTCATTCAAAGCAACTTGAATACGCTTGGAAAGCAGCCTTGTTCATTTTGTGCTGACAAAGACTTGAAATGTAATTCATAAGTGCCTGAAACTTCTTTCTCAGCAATCTTAATGTCATTAGAGATAACATCCTGGCTCAGTTTTATTTCAGAAAATATAAATTTTTGAGGGGATCTATCCCAGGTGAGGGGAAGGTAAGGAAGGAGATTGCTGGGGCCATGATAGATCTCAGTATTCTATTTAGCAATAGGCAAGGTCTCAGAAGACTGACGAATGGCCAGTGTTGTTTCTTTAAGAAGAGCAACAAGGATAGGCCAGGAAATTTATAGACCAGTAAGCCTTATGTCAGTGGTGGGGAAATTATTGGAAAAGATTTTTAGGGACAGGATTCACTCGCATTTGGAAAAGAATCGACTTATTAGGGATATTCAGTGTAGCTTTGTGCAGAGGTTGGTGGGGGGTGGTGGGGAACGACTTGTCTCAATTATAGTTTTTTTTGAGCAAGTGAAGGTGATCGAGGATAGGGTAGCGAATGTTGATTATTGGTGGAAGATTCTGCTTAAAAAAGAAAGTAGTTTGAAAGTAAAGTCCCTCAATATTTATTTTTGTAGCTGGACTCGAAGTGGTTGCTGACATTTAGTATTGATGGATGCAGCAGAATCTAGCATATTACTGACTTTATGGTGTTTGGTATTCCATTTGTCATTTTGAAAGTGTAATGACTAATTGATCCCTTTATGTAGTGAATACCATTTCTGACAGTTTAACTTATCCAGATTTACATAGTAGGGATATTATTCCAATTTGATGTACCGTGTGAAATGTTTTTTGTTTAAATAATTGCAGTTAGAGCTTATTTTCTCCAGAAAAAATTGAGAACTTTGGATAACTTGTTAACCAGAGCAACTTGGCTTTTTGGGGTAAAAACTCTGCATTTGCTTCCGGCATGCTTGGAGTCTAGATCTCCATTATACACCCTCAAACAGTGAAAATTCAAACTTTTTACTGCTTTAATGTTTAAGGAGTGTTCAAACCCATTTTCTAGCAAGTGGGTGATATCCCCAGGTTAATTTTTTCCCCCATTTGATCACACTACGCAATCTTAGATTTTGGTCTCTTGAGATCAGGCAGGACATTATCATTACAAGTGACTTGGTTCAAACTAAGAAAAGAATGGGGTCACTGGCTAAGAAATGGAGTTTGCATGGGGACTGAAGATTTTGTTCTAAGAAATTCTCATTCAACCACTACCAGCTGTCAGGCAAGCAGTGTATCAAATCAGACACTGGAGGGGTTGAAAGAGGTGAGTTCCCACCAGAGCGGGGGTTACGACTCTACATATGAATTCTTGGATCATGTAACCAAGGGCAGTGTGATGAGAAATAGGCGCAGAAAAATAGATTATTGGGGAATGGCAGAAGTAATGTTTTGGGAACTGAAAGAGATGTTTTTCTCACTGAAAATCTGGTAACTGCAGAATTGTTGAAAATGGCAGGGCAATGCAAGAGCAGTCACACCTAGGTAGATGACAACTGACAAGCATGGAGAATGGTATTATGTTAATCACATCCAAGCCTCTACATTGATAATAAAGGATGCACAAGTGCAGTTTATCATGTTTACATTAGATGTCATTGGTGACTTTGATAAGTGCTTTTTCAGTTCTTTGGCAAGGCAGAAATCTGATTGGCATAATTAAAGCATGCAGTTGTGGAAAAGAGGAGTTAGGGATTTAGGAGTTTGGGCTGGCAGGGATGATGACGTTACAGGTTTACAAAATCATGAGGGGCATAGATAGAGTGAATAGTCAAGGCCCTTTTCCTAGGATAGGGGAGTCCAAAACTAGGGGGCACAGGTGTAAGGTGAGAGGGGAAAGATTTAACAGGGACCTGAGGAGCATCCTTTTCATACAGAGGTGGTGCATGCATGGAATGAGCTGCCAGATGAGGTGATGTAGGCTGGTATAATTACAACATTTAAAAAGGTACGTGAATAAGAAGGCTTTAGAGGGGATATGAGCCAAGTGCTGACAAATGGGACTAGGTCAGATTGGGATGCCAGGTCGACGCACAGTTGGACCGAGGAGTCTGACTCTGTGCTGTATAACTCTGAATCTAATGGGGCTCTAACAGGTTAGTAAAACCACTAGACCTGATGGGTTTCACCCTTGGATTTTAAGGAAGTAGCTGCAGAGGCAGTGCATACACTGGCAGTACTCTAAGAATCTCTAGATTCTGGAAAAGTCCAAGAGGATTGAAAAACTACCAATATAATACCTTTCAAATAAAGGGAAAGAAACAACAAAAAAAAAGGAACTAGGAGAGTTTGTTTAACATCTGTTATTGTGGTAACGTTGAGTCTATTGCAAAAGATGTAACAGCAGAACACTTAGAAATACGCGATCAAGCAGAACCAGCATGGTTTCAAGAGTGGGAAATCATTTGACGAAGTAACACAGGATATATAAAAAGGAAATCAGTAGATGCAACATTTGGATATCCACAAGGTACGCAATAAGCTCACACATATTTCTACTTAATAAGTGCCTATGAAGTTTAGGCTAATATTATCATGAATCGACTATTGGCTAATTAATAGAAGAAACAGTTGGGATAAGAGGAGGGGATTTCAGAATAGAAACCACAAGGATCAGTGCTAGGCCCACAACTATATTAATTATTTGGATGGTGGAAGTGAATGTACTATCACCAGTTTGCAGATGACAGAGTGAGAAGACAATTAATGTGGATGATATAAGGAGTCTACAGAGATACACACTGGTTAAGTAAGTGGGCAAAAATCTGGCAGATGGAACATGTGGGCAAAGAGGAGATTATGCACTTTGCGAAGAAGAATGGAGGAGTGCATATTATTTAATTGGGAAAAGCCTGCAGAAAGCTCCAGCACAAAGGTATTTCAACATTCTCATGTGTGAATAAAAAAAGCTTGCATCTAAGTTCAGTGGTAAATAGGAAAAACACATGGAATGATGGTCTTTATTTCAAAGGGAATGGAGTATTAAAAATAGGAGGTCTTGTTAAAACTTTACAGGCAACAGTCTGACTACACAGAATACCGAACAGTTTTGGTCTGCGTATCTATGGAAAGACATATTGGCATTGGAGGCAGTACAGAGGAGGTTCACTAGATCGATCCTAGGTATGGAGGGACTTATGAGGACAGGTTGAGCTTGTACTCATTGGAGTTCAGCAGAATGAGGAGACCCTTCTTGAAACACAAGATTCTTAGTGGCTTGTCTATGTGAGTAATTTAAAATGAAGTTGAATGGTGCAGGAAAAAGTTGTCTGGTGTAGGAAACAGAGGTGCCAAGTTTAGACATCAGGAGCACAATCTGAACACTTGTTGCTGACACAAAAAAGTGAGAATGTCTGGGAAACAGTAAAGAGATTAAAAGCGTTTAGGAAGACATTTTTGTATATAGAACCACCGTTACTTTCATTCCTAAATTTTTATCTTCTGGTTACTAATCAGTAGAAATGACATTCTCCCTGTTACTTAATCAAAAGCCCTTTAAAATTTCGAACTGCTATCTGGCTGTTTTTATATTTCACCGTGACAGATGATAAGTATGCAAATACTCAAGTCTAGACGAACTGACAAGTTCACTGCACCTAGCATTCTGTGCAATATAAATAATTTGCAATGACTACAAAAGCAAAATACTGCAAATACTGTAAATCTAAAGTGAAAACAGAAAACAGTGGAAAAACTCAGGTCTGTCAGCATCAAGAAAGGAACATAATTAATTCGTCTCCCATTACTGTTTTCAGATCAATGACATCTCAAAATAGTTCAGATGAAAGGCCATTGACCTAAAATATTAATTCCTGCTGTTCAGATGCTGCCATATTCACTGAATATCCCCCATTATGTTAGGTTTTAATTAGTGATAAGAATGGTTACTAGCACCAACCATAAAGTAGTTAATAATGAAATAACCCAGCTGAGAGCATGAATCTGACACCATTATCATACTGAAAACACATCTACTTCTAGATGTATTAAGTGACTGAAAAGCCAGAATATTTCCTACAATCTCCTTACTCACCTCTTGTTCTACATATTGCAACAAGTATGTCCAACCTGTGAAGTCCTGGGGATTGTCTTCCACCACTTTCCAAAACTTCTCATACTCTGTAGGAAAGGGGATCCCTGAATCATTCAGTTCTATGTTTTCTGTGTCTTGTACTGTCCCTTCAGGTGAGGAATTCGCAGGTTGAGATTCAGTGTCCATTGATGCTGAGCCTTCAGGAGATTCAACTTGTGCCACAGATGTTTCTGACAAATCTGTAAAAGGTTTCAGATTGGTTCCCTGATCACCAACTTTACTATCAATAATCATAGCTCTTGATTTTAAATCGTTGGCTTCATCAGCAGGCTCCATGTTTGGCATGAGCAGCTCACGTGAAAGGGAATCAGCAGTAGAGGAAATACTTTTATGCAAGTCACATTCATTTGCAGAGTTAAGTCCATCATTCTGTGCTGACACTGTCTGATTAGAATCTTAGAAAGGGAAATAATAAAAAATTAGTAATTATGACTAAATCATTAAGTATTACAATTAAAACTTTTCTATCAGTATCACTCCTGTCTTACTACAGGAAAAGGAATTTATTCACTATAGTCTTGTCGCATCAAGCGAAGATACCATCTAGGAGGAGAAGTCTGGTATCATTCCAATTTCAGGATTAGTTTCTCATCTCAAATTGCAATGATGGTTCTGTTGACTCACTACAGGAGTTATTTTTTCTATATCTCCCAGCCAACAGCTTTATTTCTGAAGAAAAACACTGATATTTCCTTACACCAGTCCCCTATAGAAAGGCAATGGGGACGCTAATTATAGCACGCCATTAATGAATTTTCTTTCCTTGTTTGCGAAGTCGTGAATGTTATTATTTATGGATCCTTCTTTCCCGATCAAGTGAATGTGCTGAATTTCCTTGCATTAGCAAGAAGTACTTGCACACAAGCCTGGGAAAATAGTGGCTGGCTTTATGCAACAACTAATGAAGATGTTATAATAAAAAACATTGATAAAATGAACCTCTATAACATGTCTGACTACTATCAGAATATTCCCTTCTTGCCTTTATAGCTAGGACATATTCAATAAGAAAAGAAAAAGTAGCATTTAACATTTCAGTATTCTTATGAAGATGGTCAAGAAGAAAATGTTTTACCAAAGAATGTCATCTTGCACACATATCATATTGAAAGTGAACAACATTTAAAATTGAGATGCTGGAGAATTGTTAGGTTTGAGAGGGGCAGCAGTCTTGTTTCTTCTACAAATTACTGGCAATGTATAACTGCTGTAAGTGATTTGTAGTTTTGCTTTATGTTTAAATTTTTGTACTATATTTAAGCAAGACGATCTGCAGAGAACTGTCTCATAGAAAACTACCTCCTATACAGTTTCAAAGTGCACTAGTTATGAGAAAACATTCAGTTTGTATTGCTGTAAATGGCATGTAACGTTTATTTCTGCCAAGTGCAATGCACTATTGTGTGTCATTGAAGTCAGTTTGCCAAGGTTCAAGCAGTGGTTAAGCTTACTAATATTTACAAAAGCAGTTTGATTTCTCTCCTGAAGAACTAGCAATAAGTAATAGGCACTTAAGAATTTAAGCATGTTGATTTTTAGACTTGCTAAAAACAAATTTTGGAACTGATGAGGCAGACATCAATATATTTAACTCTTTAAAATATTTGCTAATATTTAATACAATAACAGGCACTCCCAGAAAAGCAAAGGTGCAGTGTTCAGAAATACTAAGATTTTAGCAAGTTTCTCTTCGGAGGAACACAGTAGTTTCCATTCTGTTGTCCATCTGAGATGGATGAATTCAATAGAAGTCAAATTCCTAAATTCCTCACATTTAAGTTACGTATGCCTGCTACTCCCCCATTTTAAGACAACTAGCTATCAGATTATCCCAACATTTTAAATTAAACAAACAAATTGATCTCAAATTAAAGATCAAATGTCAGGTTTTCATCTGTACTGGATTTTAAATTGATAAAAACACAATGTCTCTCACTAGAATGTAACTATATACTTTTTGAATGACAACCAATCATAACATCTGGAAGCAGAGAAATAGATGAATAACAAGGAAAAGGAAGCAAATCCTGCATTCTGGACCCACAGCCTCATGGCCAAAGATCTGCAGGTTAAAATTCAATCTGTTCAGTAATAAGATCACCACATCAGAAACTCAGTCAATTTCATCCTCAAATTGTGGGACAGCTGATGACTCATTTTTATTATATTTTACTTCATTACTTGAAAGTAAAGTGTATAAGCAACAGCATAGCTACTTTATTTAAAACGTAAGCAGGTAAAAATGGTCCTCTGGTCCTAGAATCTCCTATGGAGGGAAACATTTACCTTGTCAAGCCCCTTAAAGATCACACGTTTCGATGAGATCACCTCCCATTCTTCTAAACTCCAGTGAGTAGAATCCCAAATCTGTTTAGCCTTTGCTCACAAAACATTCCCTCCATCTCAGGGATCATCCTAGTGAAGTTGTCTAAACTACCTCCAAAAAAACTTTCCTTAAATAAGGAGACCAGAAAATGCTCACAGTACTCCAGATGTGGTCTCACCAGTACCTTGTACAGTTGCAGTAAGATGTCTCTACTCATATTTCAAACCCCTTGAACTAAGGGCCAATATTCCAACAGCCTTCCTGCTTATCTGCTGCACCTGTTTGCATTTCATACACAAGTTGCTTTGTTTTGCAGCTTTTCTCTATTTAATAACGCTCTCTTGTTCTCCCTTCCAAAATTTACATTTTCTCTTGATTAGTTTGAGCAACTATCTACTGTAAATTACATCAGCAATGGTGAAAGAGAAAATAAACAGCACCTTTTCAAAAATCTTTCCATTCATATTGTGAAACATCCAAAAATCAAGCAATTTTCCATGCTGATCTCGATTCAGAATTTGATTTTTTTAAATTAAAATACGGAAATAAAACAATTAAAACAAAATTGACTAACATATTATGCATATTTTAAAAAGACACAGGAGCAGAAGCAGGCCATTCAACACATTGAACCAGCTCTGCTATTCGATGAGATCATGGATGATCTGATAATCTTCAACTCCATTTTCCTGCCTCATCCCCATAATCCTTAAGTCCTTTACTGATTATATTCAGCAGATTGACTACTGTCTGAAAAACAATCCTTCTAATCTTTATTAAATTGGCGATCCCTTCCTCAGATTATGCTCTCTGCTCACGGCCTTTCCCACATGGGGGAAACAACTTCAAGATCTACAACTTTAATCTGTTCTTATAATCAGAATTATCACAGGGCAGGTAGCAGATTTTTCAGCCTTCTTTGATTGCATCAGATGTCTTAAATGAGCATTTCACTTTGTTCAAACCCCTCACATTCTACAGTCCTCAAATCATCTAAAACTCTGGTGCTCACATTTTATCTTCAAATCCCACTCAGTCAGCTACTCACCGATCTAGACTGGCTGTGCCTGCAGGCCCTTAAATCTTAAATGCTCATCCTCATGTGCCAGTCTTCTATGGCCCAATCCTTCCCGGTGTCTAATCTTATTGAGCCCTATAATCCCCATACCTCCAAATTACCCAACTTCTGGCCTTTTGCATGACAAGAATCTCCATCTCATTGACAGCTGTGCCATTAGTTGTTAAGTCTCACATTGAGAAATAGCTCTCAGCCTCTTACATCTTCAAGATGATCCTTAATTTTTTTTTGAATTTGTGGTCACCTGTCCCAATACCTGTGAAGCTTAGCTGCATATTTGATTTGATAAAGTACCCATAAAGCCTTGTGGTGCTCTATGATATTAAGATAACTGCATAAATGTAAATCTTCATGAGCGAATTCTTCTACGGAGAGCCAACATAGCTCAAATGTTACTCAAATATTAACCACAGGAAAATTTAAAGAGGTTATCATCCAAACTACAAACTAAAAAGTGTAACCAACTGACAATGTGAAAGATAGTAAGAACTGCCGATGCTGGAGTCAGATATGACACAGTGTGGAGCTGGAGGAGCACAGCGGGCCAGGCAGCATCAGAAGAGCAGGAAAGTTGATGTTTTGGGTCAGGACCCTTCTTCAGAAAATGAAGAAGGGTCCCGACCCGAAACATCAACTTTCCTGCTCCTCTGACAATGTGAAAGATTCTTCAGCTGAAAACCAATCAAAGTTAAACATTAACAGACCTGCAATTCTGAGGAACAGTTCTGAGGAAGGGTCACCGGACCCAAAATGTGAACTGATTTCTCTTCACAGATCCTGCCAGATTTACTGAGCTTTTCCAGCAACTTCTGCTTTTGTTTTTGAATTACTAAAGCATTGTTAAATAACAAAACAATGCTATGTTTTACATTTTTTTCATGCAGAGTTTAAGCTGGAGTAACTAGAACTGTTTTTGAGAATATAGAAATGAAAGGTGTTAAGGAAAAGCCAGGGTACTATAGGGCCATAGGTGGTGGGCAAGTTGTTGGAGGGAAACCTGAGGGACAGGATTTACATGTATTTGGAAAGGCAAGGACTGATTAGAGATAGTCAACATGGCTTTGTGCATGGGACATCGTGTCTCACAAACATGGTTGAGTTTTTTTGAAGTAGTAACAAAGAGGATTTATGAAGGCAGAGTGGTGGATGTGATCTATATAGACATCAGTAAGGCGTTTGACAAGGTTCCTCATAGTAGACTGGTTAGCAAGGTTAGATTACAAGGATTAGAGGGAGAACTAACTATCTGAATTCAGAACTGGCTCGGAAGTAGAAGGCACAGGGCAGTGGTGGAGGGTTGCTTTTCAAACTGGAGGCCTGTGACCAGCGATGTGCCACAAAGATCAGTGCTAGATCCACTGCTTTGCATTATTTATATAAATGATTTGGATGTGAACATAGGAGGTATGGTTAGTAAGCTTGCAGATGACACCAAAATTGGAGGCACAATGGACAGTGAAGGAGGTTAGCTTGGAGTACAAGATCCTGATCAGATGGGCCAAGGGCCTGAGGACTGGCAGATGTTGTTTAGTTTAGATAAATGAGAAGTGCTGCATTTTGAAAAGGCAAATCAAGGCAGGACTTATACACATAATGGCAACATCTGGGGAGTGTTGCTGAATAGACACCTCGGTGTGCAGGTTCGTAGTTCCTTGAAAGTGGTATCAGAGATAGATAGGACAGTGAAGAAGTTTGGTATGTTTGCTTTTAACGGTCAGTGCATTGAGTGCTTCCCTTTATTGTCAGTGCATTGGGGGTGGTGTCTTAAATTCTAGACAGCATAAATTTAAGGCGAGAGGCAAGATTTAAAAGGGACCTAAGGGGCAGCTTTTTCCACACAGAAGGTGGTGCGTGTATGGAAAGAGCTGTCAGAGGATGTGGTGGAGGCTGGTACAATTACTACATTTAAAATCTTCTGGATGGCTTTATGAATAGGAAGGGTTTAGAGGGATATGAGCCGAATGCTGGCAAATAGAACTAGATTTGTTTACAATATCTGGTCAGCCACAGACGAGTTGGACCGAAGGGTGTTTCCGAGCTGTATACCCCAGAGATAAAGGTAGACCCCTAGAAGTACAATAAATGAAGAATTCCCCAGTTGAAAATCCTGAAAGGACGAGAATAGAAATTGAGTTTAAAAAACGTGTTGGAGAAATTCAGCAAGTCCCCGAGCATATGTGGAGAGTAACAGAGTAAAAGTTTCAACTCCAACATGATTCTTCTTCAGAACTAAGTCATAACTCGTGTAGCCAGCATTCTACACCTTCTTTCTTGGACAGGAAGGTTAGGATTCGCAAAAACATTGTAAATTAAAACCGAGTGAAACAGGTGCGCTCTCAGAGAGAGACGTTTCAAACTTAACTACAGTAAGTGACCTGACTTCATGCGCGCCAAGCCACAGCGAGGAGAGAAAGAGCTGATATTTTTAGATGTGACCGCACGACCACATTAAGGCATTAGATAGGAACCCAACATCAGGAAGACACCGCCACCGGGGGAAATAGCGTCACCCCGAGCACCGGGCGACCGCCGACCCAAAGCCGAAACCTCCCATTCTCCATCACAGGCCGGAGAACTCGGGCTCGAGTAATATTCACAAAAGGCCCAGACACGGCGGAAGTTAGGCTGGACCGTGGCAACGAACACATACGAGGCCGAGACTCACTAAACCACAGCAACACAACTATATCCTACCGCTACTGCTACTTCTCTAACATAGCTTAACCGTACCCACTCACCTCGCGCCTCCATACTACAGACCGTTATAGCCGTTACTGCCGACCCGCCCCCGCGCGAGCGCTAATACGAACACGTACTCCGTTCGCACCCCCCCCTCCCAAAAACTGCCTTCAATGCGCAGGCGTGCAGCGTCCAAGTACACACCGCTTTCAGATCAGCTGATTGCTAAACCACTCCACTGAATAGTCAACATCAGGTGGAAGCTTCCAGTTTTCGTCGGGATGCCAAGAAAGTTGATGAATTTGGAGGATTTTCGTATGTTCCGCCCATGATCCAATATGTCCGCCACTTCTTTTGTTTGAAATTCCATATAGCATTTAACTTTTTGTTGAGATCCGAAGGCTCAACGCTCACGTACTACACAACACATATCAAACAACATAATAGCTTCGAAAAAGAAGGGCCCAGTCGGCAGTCAACATCTCACAAAGATGATGGATAGTGAAACGGGATGCGTTGTGGTGTACATGGACATTCGTAAAGCCTTCGATAAAAGATCAAGAAACTTTTGTAGCAGCTTAATCAAAATGAGAGGGAAGCAAGTTGTATTAAAATAGTTGGAAGAGAGAAAGAATTAAAGGCAGTTTGTCACAGTGGGTGAAAATGTATCACGGAGACTTGTATTCTGACACTGCTGTTTACCTCATCGATGATTTGAACGGAGAGGCTAGAGGAGTAGTACATTATTCAGATTTGTAGAGATTCAAAAATTAAATGCATTCCAAATAATTGTAAGGATTTTATGAAACTTCAAAGGAAGATGGATGTGTGGTGGAATAGATTTACGCATTTAGTACCAAACATGCTGGAAATGCGCAGTTGGGACAGAGTTCATATTTCAGGCTGATGACTACGTTTTGTTGATGTCATTTCATATCAATGACTGTGAGGTATGTTTTGGTTAAAATAACAATATTCTAGAGGAGAAGGATTTGAGAGCCAGGTTCATCAAATAACAAGCAGTATTTCAAGTGTTTAAAGCTATTAAAAAAAGCGAGTAGTCTTGTTGTGACTAGAGCCTGATGGGTAAGGCAGATGAACTCCGGGCATGGAGGGGAATATGGGACTGTGATGTCAGACCTACTACAGAACCATGGCTGAGGGAAGTACAGGACTGGCAGTTCAATGTTCGACGGTACAGATACTATAGGAAGGATAGAAGGGGAGGCAAGAGAAGAGGGAGCGTGGCATTTTTGATTAGGGAAAATATCATAACGTACTTAGGGAGGATGTACCTGAGGGATCGTCCAGTGAGGCTATATGGGTGGAAATGAGAAATAAGAAAGCGGTGATCACATTGATGGGATTGCACTAAAGGCCTCCCAATAGTCAGTGGGAAATTGAGGTGCAAATCTGTGGGAAGACTAAAGTTAGCTGTAGGAACAATAGTATTGTAATTGTTGGGGATTTTAACTTGCCAAACATAGAATGGGACTGCCATTGCAATAAGGTGTGTTCAAGAAAACTTTCTCAATGAATATGTGGATGGCCTACTAGAGAAGGAGCGTAACTTGACCTCCTCTTGGAAAATAAGGCAGGGCAAGTGACTGAGGTGTTAGTGGTGAGCACTTTGGGAACACTGACCATAATTCTGTTAGTTTTAAAATAGTTATTGAAAAGGATAGGCCAGGTCCACAAGTTAAAGTTCTAAATTTGGGCAAGGCCAATTTTGACTGAGGTGCAGAAACAGAGGAGGAGAATCAGAATGAGAAACAGAGGAACAGAAACAGATGGGTAAAAACAGAGGGTGAGAAACAGTGAAAGAGGAACAGAAACAGTGGATGAGAAACAGAGTGGCAGAAACAGAGAATGACAAACAGTGTGTTAGGAACAGAGAACGAGAAACAGATGATCAGAAAGCCATGGACAGAGACAGAGGAGCAGAAACAGAGAATGAGAATGAGAGAATGAGAAACTGAGTATCTGAATCACAGGGGCAGAAACAGAGGGGCAGAAACAAATTATGAGGAACAGAGGGGCAGAAACAGAGGACCAGTAGCAGAGGACCAGTAGCAGAGGGGCAGAAACACAGAATGAGAAATGGGCAGAAACAGAGGATGAGAAGCAGAGGATGAGAAAGTGTCAGGAGCAGAGAATGAGAAACAGGATGAGAAAGAGACAGGCAGTAAGAGAGGGGCAGAAACAGAGGATGAGAAACACAGGATAAGAAAGTGAGGGGCAGAAAATGAGGATGAGAAACAAAGGGGCAGAAACAGAGGATGAGAAACTGAATCTCTGAATTACAGGGGCAGAAACAGAGGGGCAGAAGCAGAGCGGTCGAAAAAAA